ATTTTTATTAGTGGTTTTTACCCAGAAATTTTACTGAATATAGGTATCCCTTCATTTTTATTAAATATAGATATGCTTCCCCTCTCTTTTAAAGAACAGGTATCCCAAACCATTACAGAACATGAGTACCAGCCCGCTTTTATTGAACACAGGTATTCCCCTCTTTTATTTTTTGTAGGTATTCTTCAACTTTTACTGAAGAAATATCTCCTTTATATGTTTCAATCTATGATATTTTTGGTTAACACCTACCACCCACTTTTATTGAACACATGTCCCTGCACTTTTCTAAATTTGCATTTATGCCACTTGTTTTCTTTGCTATCTGAAATAGCTGAAAGCAAAGTAGCAATTACATCTAATTTACATGGAAACATTTTTGAGCATTCCCAGACCCCCAAAAACCTTTTATGTCTGTTTGTCTCAGTGTCACGTGTCAAAGTTCATTGTCTACTGTGGCTGATATAGAAGGCTTGAAATACAACAATTTACTCGACTACTTAACCTCAATCATTTTTCTATCATACATTTCTTTGTAGGCACACAAAAGAGCCTGCAAGTCTGCCCTAAACCAATCTGCCCTTTCAAAATTAAAATTGGACATTTTAGCAATCATTGCTAAACTACCTATTTTCGTCCTTGCTAATGATTCTAATACCATTCTGAGTGGCTTCTGAAAAGTTCTTGGCCTAACTAAGAAGTTTTTTACTGCAGACTAAGAAATGTTGTTTCGCTTGTAACTTTGAAACATTTCCTTTGTATGAATTGCATATCCATTTTATAAACAAATTTAATTAAAACCATGCTTGCAACACTTGCCACTTCTGAAGTGAAACACATTTATTTACCTTCAGTTATATGTCATTAATGAAGGTCACTACAATCATGTTGTGTTTTGCTTAATAATCAAAAGTAAATGCTTTTATTGAACACAACATTGGAAAATCTGACTTACAGTTGCATAAAAATCACCAAGACAATGCACAAAAGCGTAGTGTACAACAATGACCAAAACATTGTGAATATGACAATAAAGATGAGGACAACAGTCCAAACAATGTAAATAGTGTAACAGTGTAAATAGTTACAATACTTCATCTCAGAAATATAGACAAAGTCTTGAACTCTCAAATATTTCCACAGGAGGATAACAAGTATATATATATATATATATATATATATATATTTATGTATGTATATGAAGAAATATACTGTTAAGTTATGCCATATTTATGGGATAAGTGCTCAATATCAGAGATAGAGTGTGTGTAAATATAAAACTGAACATTGAAGTCAACACTTAGAGGTGACAGGCTGTTTCATGCTAGATGCAATCATCAGGCCTGACGATTGCATCTAGCATGAAACAGCATGTCGCCTATATGTGTTCATATATATATATATATATATATATATATATATATATAAATATATTCACTTTCATATATATATATATATATATATATATATATATATATATATATATATATATATTCACTTTCACAATGTTCACTTTAAATATATATATATATATATATATATATATATATATATATATATATATATATATATTAAAATATTTTATAATTTTTCTTTCTTTTTAATGTCATGTCCTGTCAGGATTTAGGCCATCATGACACTCCACAGATTCTTTATTATCTGTGAATTCTCATGGCTTCTTGGGAAAAATAGTGGAGTTGTTGTCTCATTGTGTCTTCTACAGTTTGGAGATCAGAATTTTCATTCACTTTGGTTGCCACACAAAATTAGCCCAGCCTGCTATTTAACCCCATGTCTGGTGAAGTGGAGATGGATTCATGCCTTTTCCATGGGCAACACAAAAGTGAACCTAACAGATAACCCAGAATTTGAACTCTGCTCACTGATTCCACATTCTGTAACACCACCCACACACCCAATTCAGTAAACTTAAAAAACAAAAATCTCTCTTCATTTCCATACAAGGAAATTTTGGATATGTTGAAAGTTAACACCGTTACAAATATACCTTGAATATATTTGCATTCATTTGCTATATTATCTATTTGTGATCAAATAAACTTAGTCTGGTATAAGGCCACAATATTAGAAGCTCATGAGAATTAAGCTCACTACATGAGAGAATTAGTCAGCAAAATTAGCTTGTTAACCATCACCCTTCATTAGGTAACTTTGTATCTTACATAGAAGTTATTTTAGGAAAATCTATGACAAAGTGTAAAATATTTTCCATAATGTGACCTTTAGGGCTTCAGCTGACTAAAATGATGTTTACATCAATATGCTTGCATATTTGCATGAATGAGAGGGAATGCTGAAATTTTAAATTTCTTTTTCTTTTTCAAATATGGGTGTTAGGTATATAGTCTTACTAATATCTCTTGGTTTCTTTTTCTTTCTTTTTATTACTTTTGTTATTAAATAACCCACATTGTGATAATCAAAGATTTGCCAAAAAAAGATAATGTCATTACAACTCTAAACTTTACAAAGATATTCATTTGTATGTTAATGTTTCTATCTTATATAGAAGTGAAGTTATTACAAATTGAAATGGCACAAAGACCGGTATGGTATGATCTATTCAAGAGTATTCACTGATATTTATAAACATCTACTAATGTGACATTGATAATTAACTTCATGTCAACCTTTTATATTCTTTTTCTTTGGATATGTAAATATGGCAATCTCTCACATGCTAATATATTACAACATCTCTTGGAAATATTAAGGGGTTTATAACGTTGGTAGATCTTGTGCTTCTTCTATACATTGTTTCATTTCTCAGGATTGCTTTGCTTTCTCTCTCTCTCTCTCTCTCTGAAAATCTTGATATGTTGCTTTCTCTTGGAAATCTCAGTTTTGCTCAATGTTGTACTCAGAGTATTCCTCTTCCATTGTTATGTCTTCATCAGATGTTTTAGAATCCTTTTGACCTTGTTGTTCATCCATAAACATGTCTTTATTTATTTTATTCTTGAGAGGCAGGTTTCATTGTTGGTCTACAAGATGATAATTAGCAATAGCTATGGAATGTTTTTCTACTCTTCTCCTCATAATCTTTTTGGGGATTTATTTGAGCTGCATTGGCTTCTATGGTAATGGTGATATTAGCCATTTCCCTACAAGGAAACATTTAGGATTCATTGACTGAGCAGCCAGTACAACATCCAGTTGAAATCTATAGAATCTTTCTCTTAAAACAATTTTCAGGAAAATAGGTTTCTCAAGCTGTTATCACTCTTTCTAGTATTAATGAGGGTTTCCTTCCTAACCTTTTATTTGATGTAGTGTAGAATATTAACATCTTGATTATATCATTATTTTCTCTTTGAGTTACACATGCTATCCATTTTAGTTGTTGCTGATACTGGTAGTATGCAAGTGATGTGGTTTCTCTTATTTGGTACAGATCTTTTTTTGTGATTCTGTAGTACCAATCTACAATGTTCCAAAAAGGAAGGTCTTTGCCAAGACACTCAGGTTTCACTCACTCAAAACCACTGTTAACCATTGATTGTAGAAAGCGGTTGTATACAGCTGACAGTTTAGATATTTTTGAATTGGTTTGGTTCCATGCATGGCATCCATATGAAAGTCTTGATCTGATTGAGGCTATTTAAGAACTGGACTCAAGTTTTCAGGTTAATGTTTTGGTTTTGTAGCAATTTGCAGTGATGGACGAAACTACCTTAGCACAACTGATTTTATGTTCAATTTCCTTATCACCTATACTAAATTTGATATAGCTAATTTATGCATGGTGGTATTTGAAGTGTTTAGTATTTAATAATTCCATATCCTGAATTTTAATGATAGATACAGGGTAGGTGTCTGTTATATTCCGTGCTAAGGGAATAAATACTTAACACCAGGTGGATAATAGAAGAAAGGTTTATTGTACACAACCAGTACAATATGAAATATGGTACAGTTATGCACACAGGTCAATCTAGTAGTGAGTGCCACTAAGGTCGGACATGCTTGCATCTTTTCGCTCTCACTCTTCCTCCAGTCTCTCGTAGACAGTTGACTTTATAGGTACTTACTACCTATAGTGTAATCATTCATAGGGGTGACTGGTTATTCCATTACACCAGTGCCATTACTGCTTTCATTCCAGTTCCAAACAACATTTTCTGTTTTGAAAAGGTTTATCTTTAATCCTATTTCTTGGAAAACTTGGTAGAGGATGTTGATTTTCTAGTCGCATTGTTGACTCTTTGCATCATAAAATTGGACCTTTCTTCATCTGACTTTTTATTCTTTTTATACAACACTGTATTTACAAATATGCTTTTCTGATTTTTAAGTTGGTTATGAAGCAAAGTTAACGTGTAAGCCTGAAAGATTATATAAGATAAATATCAAAACAATATTCCACTATTAATTAATGATTCTTAAAAATCATGCACCACTAGAAAACACTTGTATTTTTTAGAGAAAAATACATTCCACCAGAACTTGTTAATAAGGTAATTATTCAAGTTTCAAATAAATAGAATTGTCTACTCATTGGTTAATTTTGAAGCTAACCTAGTTCAGTTGAAACAAAGAGTTATGCAACACTGAATTATTTTAAATGTATCTTGTCTGGTTATTTTAATTTTTTATTTATTTCTTTTTATGTTCACCATATTTTTTTCATATTTCTCTCCCATTTTCTCTCATTTTTTACTATTTTTAGTTAGTGAGTAACTTTACCCTCTTCCCCCATTCCTCTCTCTCTCTCTCTCTCTCTCTCTCTCTATTCCTGATTTTTTTTCTTAGTATCTTTATTTTTACATACTTGGTTATTCTTATTCACCCTCTGTTGCTCTGTTTCATTTCTTCTGTTCCTCTCTTTCTCTCTCTCTCTGCATTTTTGCCCCTCTCTTACAGTTTTACCTTCCTGTTTCTCCTCCTTCAAACACCACTCTTTTTCTTTACTCTAACCCCCACTCTTCCCTAAAATCAGTTTTCTTTTTTATTTAGTGAAAAAGAAAAGAAAATCTGTCATGAGTTTCAAACCCTCTTTCTTTCTTCAATACATTTTCTGTTCTTCTCTCTTTTTTTTTCTTCCCTCATACACTTTGTCTTTTCTTCTCTCTCCCTTAATATATAATTTCTCCCATAGCTCCTTTCTGTCTATCACTCATTTTTGTTCTTCTTTCTCAGATTATTTCACTTACTTTGTTTTCTCTTTTGCTCTCTTTCTCTCCATTTTTTTTAAATTCTTTCCTTTTTTTCTTTTCCTTTATTTGTTCTTACTTTATTTCCATATAACAAGCAATTCTTTCTTTTTCAACCTATTCTCTATTTCATACTTTGTCTTCCTCTCATATCTTTTTGCAAGTCTATTCATTCTTTTCTTTCTTTCTTTCTCTTGTCCTTCTTCCTATTTTCTACATCGTTCTGTCTTTCCTCCTTACAGCCCCTCCTCCCTACACCCTCTTCTTCAGTCACATCTCTCATCTTTCTACTCATTTTCACTTGTCAACTTCTCTTTTGTACCAGTTTCACTCTTTCTGTCATTTTTATCTTCCTTCTCCTTTAGTCTCCCATCTTTTTCTTTGTCAATTTTTCTTCTCCTCCTCCTCCTCCTCCTCCTCACTCTACTAATCTTTCTCTCTCACTCTGTTTTTAGTCCCAAAACAAAAAGGAACAAATATACAGCAAAAGGCTTTACTTCTCAAGCATTCTTTTCTATTGCCTTCCTTTCCCAATCATTTCAATGACATGACAGCAGTCAGCCAGATGTGTGCCTTATTCCATCATCTTCACTTTTATTTATTCAATTTTTCTTTTTTTCGGAGGGGGGGGGTCTTCTTTTTACCAACCCAACCAGTTCTCAAAGAACTAAAAATTCCTAAGACCCAGCATGATAAGTTTTCTTGTCTGATATTCCCCTAATGTTTAACGCAGCATGAGGGGCTTTTTAAGTGTTCCCTTTCACGTCTAAACCCCAATTCTACAACCAATGCCTCATGGCCTTGAAACCTAATTACACCCCACCTCGCACATGCACAACACCCTGTCCTCTATATCTCAGACATGTTTGTCTATTGTCAGTAAAACAATGCAAAATTTAAAATCAAATAGTCTTCAATAAATTCTCCCCCCACACACCTTTTTTTTTAAGGGAGAGAGGATGTTCAATTCTTTAAAAAATTGAATGATAAAAAATGTATAATTTGTAAAGAATAGAAAGGAATTTAGATGTTTACTAAGTCTAGAGTTGTCTGGTACAGGCTCACATTTACTAAGAGAGGGACACCTAGTGAGGTTCAAATTCTTAATGCTCTTGATGAACTATGAAAACCAATTTGCTAAGTATCACCCTATGGTATGAATGCAAAGAGAAAATAAATGTATTTCTGAAGAAGTGAGTTCTTCTCTTCAAAAAATTACTATTGATGACAATTAAATGCTACCAAAATTTTAATGGAGATCTCAATTTTTACATCTTCAAAATGTATATTTTATCAAAATGTTAAATTAAAAGAATAATAATAACAACAAAGCAAATGCTTCTTTAGTGTTTTAGATAGTTGCATATTTTGCACAAACCTCAGTGGTGAGTGTTTGATCCCATGTCATGTTTTCAAATGCAGTCGGTCACCCATTTGGAAAACTCATTTAACAATCTTTCAGCAAACAGTCACTCCGCCCACCACACACACACACACCAGTTTTGCTCTGTGCTGAACTAAGTTTTCTTCAATCTGGCTGTATGCTGGACAAAGCTTCTTATAACCATTTCCCCCCACACTCACACATAAAAAAAAAAAAAAAAAAATTTGGCCATGTACTGCACTAAGTTTTCTACAACTAGTTCCCCTTCAAAAATAATTTAACAGTGTTTTGCAATAAGTTTCCTATGATCAGTCTTAAATAATTGTCAGACTTTGTCCATTTAATAATGTATGACGTCATTTGTTTACATTGGATATGCATTGAGCAGATATGAATGAATAAGAGAAAAATCATGGAGAATTGTGTTTAAAAACAGTAAAATCGACCTTGCTAACTGAACGCTCCTCTGTGGCTGAAACAGTTAAGACACGTCAGGCTATATGACGGTTCCGTATAGGATACAGGTTCCATTCCTGTTGGAGAACGCATATTTTCTATGAAAATTTCTCGGACATTCAGACCGGTAAATGTTGTTAATACTGTTTATTATAAACAGAGCATTTAGAATGTCTCAAATAAAATTGTACGCTCCGACCTTCTTCAGGTAGTTGGAATATCGAACTGGGATAGACTGTTCTAGTTCCACATGCCATATTTTAATGGATGTCAGTTATCAGTTATCTCCTGTTAATTTCCCTTTCCAAGTTCTCCACTGCCTTAACCAGGTATTAAACTCACACTCTTTGGGTCCTGTCACTGGATCTAACTAACCCCTTTATCCACTGTGCCATGTGTCCTTGGCGACATCTGTGTATGAATTTCTGGGTATTATAAACATAATGTCTTCAGCAAAGGGTTCAGTTCAACAGTCCAACCACCTGAAGAAGAGCAGAGCATACAATGACTGAAACGTTGTAATATGGCGACAAAGATGAGGACAATAGTTTGAATAATGTAAATAGTGTACATAATACCTCATCTCTTCAGACAATTGAACTCCTTTATATACATCATTTTTGGCTGATCTATTCTTCAACCCTCATCAAGTGGATTCTGTCAGAAAGAATCTAATCTCTTTCTTCCAGTCCTTTCTCTTTTTTTTAACAGAATACACCTGATGAAGGCAGAATACATTGGCCAAAACATGTTAAGAACAGAAAATATACAAAGAAGAGGTCAAATTGTCTGCATAATCTTCCAATGATTAGTCCCCATTCCTGATGCCAATTTGGCCAAGTATTGGGTATTTTGGGAACAAGGAAGTCATAAAGAAAATGGTAACAAAAAGAACACTTATGTGCAGAACCAGGAAGAAACAGTTGAAATTCTTGGACACATAAAAAAGAGGGCTTCAAAAACTTAACCCTCACAGGGTGTATTAAGGGCAAGAGAGATGAAAGTCTGATGAACCTTGTGCGAATGGATGGTGCAACAGAGGGTGGGAAGCTTGGTAAAGGGAGAAAAACTACTAAGGGCCACAAGGGATAGGACGTTGTGGAGAGTCATGATTGCCTGTTTCCCGAAGGGATATTATTATTATTATAATAATAATAATAATAATAATAATAATAATAATAATAATAATAATATTTTTTTTTTAAGAGCTCTCCTCAAGGTTATACGGTGGTCTGTCAGGTTTGGCAATGACATTTATATGCAGGAGTAAACTCTAATGTGACTGTAGAGACCAATGCATGAATGAGAAAGATGTCCGTAATGGGGACAAGGAAACTAGCCTGGAAGTCTGGGTCATTTTATTACTGCCTTCCTTACTGTGCAACTTTTCTGAACATCTTATAGTTATACACAATATAAAAAAAGAACAAAATGGTTTATGCTAATAATGGTGAGGGGTGGTCAGGTTATTGTGTTTTTTTCTGAGACTGACAGCACTATTGTGATGAGGTGTGAACAGACATTAAAGAACTCTTCTTCTAAGTTCTGTATCTCTCAGGACATGGGCAATCATGACTCTCCACAACTTTCTATCCTTTATGGCTCTTAACAATGTTTGTCTTTTTACTATCTCTCCCATTCACTGTTCTGCCATCCACTTACACAAGCTCATTAAGTAGGCTTTTTGCTTTTACCGCTATCTCTTGCTTTAACTATATCCAGTAAGTGTTAAATTTTCCAAGCCCTCTTTCCTCATTATGTGTCTTAGATATTTAAAATATCCTTAATTTACAAGAGGTGAGGGTGGACTAATGGTAAACTCTGCGAAAAATGGAATCATTTAGCTAGGTTCAAATTCTAGCAGTTTGTTCCTACATTGCACTAATATCACTCCTCTCCCCAGCTATGGGTTAAATAACAAGTTAGAAAGGTTCTCTAGTTGGTTGGAGACTAATTTATAAGAACTACTCTGAATTTAAAACTATGGAAAAACCAATGGGAAACAAGTTCATTACCTTCTCCAGAAACAATCATGTTTAATACACAGTTTAAAGATGTTAAAGAGAAAGGAAGCTGTGGATAGCTATAATCATCTACATCCTGAGAGGAGGAGGATTTTAATTAAGTCATAATGATTATGTGGCATCAATTTCCCTTATATTATCTTGCAAACCAATACTCATTCCTGTACTCCAACAAAAAATACAGAAATTTAATTAAGACTTGCTTGTGTGATATTATTTATCAAGCAACTTCTGCCTTTATTCTTTCTAAGTACATGGACCTAGAAATATATTCAAGTCAGATTTGTTGGTAGAAATAAAATTTTAAAAAATTAAAACTTCATAAATTGTAAAAATGGAGTAAAGGAGGCTTTCAAAGACAATTATTATTGAAACCAGACAAATAAAAAGAATTGCAGTGAAAAAAAAAAAGAAGAAATTCTTAAGGAAAAGGAATTATCTTTAAAAAGAAATACAAACAACAGGGAGATGATGATTTAAAAATATGATAGTGCTGTCGATGGTGGTGATACTGATGCAATCTTTTCTTTTCAATTTCAACAAAATGTTGTCTTTATTTTTCTTTCAAAACTGCTGCAAATAACACATTCATAAAACATTTAAAAGGAAAAAGAAATCAAAAGGAAATGTAAGATTTTCAGGTTATCAAGGTTTGCTAGTGTAACCATTGCATCACAAAACAAATCAGAAAAGAAAAATACTATCTGATTGATCACCCCCCTATATATCTACCTCTGTCTGCTTCTATATATCTATCTATCTATCTATTGTTTGTTCATCTCTATTTATATATGTCTGTTCATACCTATCTATCCATCTTTGTTCATATTTATTTATCTTTCTATGTCTGTTCATATCTATGTTCATATCTGACTATGTTTATTTATATTTATTTATATATCTATCTTTATGTCTGTTCATATCTATCTATCTTTCTGTCCGTTAATATCTTTCTGTCTGTTCATATCTATCTATCTAGCTGTTCATAAATAATCTTGCTATAACATTTTGCTTCTATCTATCTAGCAATCAGTCTGTTTCTATCTATTCATATCTATTGATAAACATTTCTTTGTCTAGAACTACTTATCTATCAATCACAGTTTTTTATACATATTTATATATACAATCTGTTCATATTTATCTACTACAGTATGTTCATATTTATCACAGTTTGCTCACATCTATCTATTTATCTATGACAATCTGTTCATATATGTAACTATTTCTTTATATAGCATGGATTATTTATTTATCTCAATCTGTTCATATCTATTTATCTATCTCTCTATCTCAGTCTGTTCACATTTATCTATCTGTGTTTCTCAGTCTGATCACATTTATTTATCTCAGTCTGTTAATATCTATCTCAGTTTATTCATATCTATCTATCTATCTAGCTAGCTAGCTAGCTAGCTCACTGTATCAGCCTGTTTCTATCTGTCTTGTTAGCTATCATTAATTTTCTACATCACTTTCTTTTCCAAGAATTCCATAATTATCATTAAATCATTCTATTCATATTTTTATCTAGCTATTCATCTATCCTGAGACATTCTTTTCTTTCATCTTTTTCCATCTTTGGGTGTTGGAATTATAAATCCAAATTAAATTCTCAAATCTACTATGATACTTATCTTGCTTAGCTACTTAGTATTTCAGTATTGTCCATTATTTTAAGGCAAGTTGAAATTACAGCATTTTTCTATTTTTTTTTTAATAAAGAATAATTTTTCTTTCTGATAGCTCCCTAAAATGTTTGTTATAAAGTTGTCTCCCTTGACATTGAATAAATTAACCCATTTCTTTCTGAATATATTATGGTACATTAGTCATGATGCGCTGTCTGCTGTTGTCCATTTTGAGGTTTCCATGGATCCCCTTCTCTTCTTCCTTTTCCTTCTTTTATTCATTTTTCTCTCTCTTTGTTTCTTGTTCACTATTCTCTCATATTTTAGGTTTAACTCTCTCTCCCCCTCTCTCTCTCTCTCTCTCTCCCTCTCTCTATGCCCATCTGTCTCTGACTTGGATTTTGGCTTCTCAATGTTTCTTATTCTGAAATTCTTTGTCTCTCAAATTTTCCGTTTCTTTAACTTAAACCGTGATCCTATCTGTTACCATTTTTTGCACTGTTTTTTCCTGCTTTGTTTTTCGTTCTTATCTTCTCGTCTAACACTTTTCTTTCTTTTTTTCCTTTGTTTATTCTTTTCCATCTTTTCTTGTACTTTAACCCTTTTTCTTTCACAGGAAATATTCTCGTCTTCTCCCTTGCTCAAACCCTTATTTTTTCCCCATTTCCTTTACATGTTGTTCTTATTCTTGCCTTTCCTCTTAAGCTGCATATTATTTCTTCCCTCTTTTATTTCACTTTCTTTTCTCTTTCTTTTCTTTTTAACTTTCCTTTGCTTCCCCACTCTTATCTCTCTAGCTATCTTCATCTGTTCATACGTCTATATCATTCATACGTTTATATCTATCGATGACAGTCTCTTAATATATATGTCTATTTGCCTACCATAGTCAAATAAATAAGTAGATATTAACAATGTCAGTCTCTTAATATATAAATATTTCAGTCAATCTCTTTCTCTATATCTATCCTGCTCAGTTTGTTAATATATATGTATCCTGCTCAGTTTAATATTTATCTATCCCACTCTTAATATCTATCCACCTATCCTGCTCAGTTTGTTAATATCTATCCTGCTCAGTTTAATATTTCTCTATCTATCCTCCTCTGTCTAATATTTCTCTGTCTATCCTTCTCAGTTTGTTAATATCTATCTATTCCTCATATTCCTTTGTTCTTTTCTTTCTCTACACACCTTTCTCTGTTCCACTCTTTCTTCCTGCTTTTTCTTTCACTTTCACTCCAACCACGATCTTTATTACTCCTCCTCCCCCTCCTCCGCTCTATTCCAGTTGCCTTCTTTCTATTCTTTTATTTCTTTTCTTCTCCGTCACTTTTTTATTTCCATTTCCCTCGACCAATTCTTTTCTCTCATTTTCTGTCTCTCACCAACATATGTATAAAAATAAATGAAACCTTATCACTGGAAAAGATACCTGTTTCCCTACAATAGATCAATGTTCAAATCATGGTCGGGAATGAACCTTGATTTTTTTAAAATTTTGAGGCAAGCCCTCTCCTCTTGAAAAATTGGTATTGCATAATCCACAATATTTGATCGCATATAAAACCCTTAATTTATATCTAATATTACAGTAATATGGAGTAAGTATTAAGAAATGGGAAAATTTAACTAGAAACAAAGACAAGAGTGCTGAACTGTTATGTAATATCAATCCTCCTATACAGCCAGTAAATGCTGGAGGATTTCCTCAAAAAGATGTTGGGAATACCATGAACAGGGCATGTGTCTCACAAGAAAGCTTTTAGGAAAATGGAAACAAAATGTACCCATACTTATTACTGGAAAGAGAGAGTTAATAAAGAGGGATTAGAGAATTTGACACTCACAGGACATAGTGAAAGCAAGAGAAACTGAAAATAAAAGTATGTTACCCAACAAGCTTGTATAAATGTAGAACAGACTGGGAAGGATAGTAAAAAGCAAACATTGCTAAGAGCTACAAAGGATGGGAAGTTGGGGAGAGCCTTTATCACCCAAGTCCATAAGGGACACAGTACATAAAAAAAAGGATGATGGAATTAGGTTTGGTACAAGAAGTAGTAGGCTCTGACCTCTGGATAAATACTCCAGTTTAGTATAAAAAAAGGATATTTTTTACCTATTTTTTTTTAAAGAGGAGGGGGTCTTTTAACTATTTGGCTTCATATTATACTAAATAGTGTTTAGTAAATATTTAAAAAAAACAAATGAGATTTTGTTGACAACTCACTTTGTTTTTTTTTTTTATCAAATAGTTTTGTTTATGTCAAGAAACAAAACATTTTTTTTAAATTTCTTGATTTGGTGTTTTTAGAAAATGACATAATATTTATTGCTGACACAATTAAACACGTTTTTTTCCCAAATGATTCACCAAAAGCAAAATTATTGGAGAGAACACACCTTATCGAACAATCTCTTTGGAATAAACCAAAATCAATTCTAGTTAATTCCATCTTACAACAGCTTTCTCTTGGAAATTATTCTTCTTCTATGTCTCTTCAGGATATTGGCAATCATGACTCTCCACAAATTCCTTTCCTTTATAGCTTCTAGTAAATTTTGACGTTTTTTGCTATCTCTCATAAACCTTGTTCTGCCATCCATTTACACAAGCTTGTTAGGTTATGCACTGTTTTCCTCTGTTCCTCTTGCCTTTGTTATGTCCTGTGAATATCAAATTTTCCAAGCCTCCTTTCTGCATTATGTGCTCTAGAAATTTCAACTCTCTTTTTCCAATATTAAGTATAAATGTTTTTTTTTTGTTCCATTTTCTCTAAAACTTCATCGTTGCTCACATGTCCAGTCCATGGTATTCCCAGCATCCTTCTCTAGAAGCACATTTCTGTTGCTTTAAATCTTTTCTTCATCTTTGATGAAATGGCCCAGTATTCACTGCCATATATAAGGACTGATATTACATAATAGTTCTATATTCTTTTCTTTATTTCTAACAAAATTTTCCTATTTTTAATACTCTGCTTAGCTTTAGGAAGGCATCATTCACTATCCCAATGCACCTTTGGATTTATGTGTGGCACTTTCTGCCCTTTGTTAAAACTTAAAACACTTCCCAGGTATTTAAATTGTTGTACTTGCTTGATTTTGGTACACAAATTTGTTATTTGCACATTGAGCCGTTTCTTTTGCTAACAACCATACATTCTATCTGCTTGTAATTGATGCTTAGTCCTTTCTTCACACTTTCCTTAAATGCTTTCTTTAGGAGTTATTGTAGTTCCCTTTCTCTGTCTGCTATCAACACTGTGTAATCTGCATATCTTGTTAAGATTGTGGTCACCAGTAATGAAACCTGGTAGGACTTTTAAATTTCTCAGAATCACCTCACTGTATGGGTTGAATGTCCAGTGAGAAGACACATCCTTGTCTTACACACCTATCAATTTTTGTATATTTACTGAATTCATTTTCTATTTTTCTGCAGGCAGTTTCCTCCCAGTAGAGGTTCTGGATCATTTTAATCCCCAAATATGTCACAGTTACCAAGCAGTTCCAACAGTTCATTGTGATGTACTTTATCAAACACTTAGGAAAACAAAAATATGTAACAGAGAATCAGGTTATTGTAACAGAAAACTGGGTTAATGTCGGATTTTGGTTTGTCATCCAAAAGGAAAAAAGAGTTTAAATTGGTTGCATGTGGTGCTGTAAGCACCAGGAGTTGCATCTCCCTCCACAATGGGCTGAATTGAAGAAACTCATGTTATTGATGGGTGGGATGTGTGACCACATGCTGGCATGTGCATTTGTGCATGGGTTGCCATTGTCTGTTCAATCCCCAGTTAAGCATTGTAGAGCTAGGTCAGTACTTAGATGGAGAACTCCTTGGGAACACCTGGTACTGCAAGCTTTTTTGATGATTGATGGACAATCGTGATCCCTTTGTGACTTACAGATGGAGCATTTGCAGTTTACCAACAGCAGAATGACAAAGCAAAATCTGACATTGACCCGATTCTCTGTTACAAAACAGTAATCATCCTTCATGTATTTTAAATAAACTGTCTAGATGGACAAAAGTAAAGAGAGACTTTTTGTCCTATTTTGAAAATCAGTTTGAAAAATTTTAACATTCCATGAGCAAAGGCTATTCCTTGGTTATATTAATTTAATAAACATATCCACAGACCCATTTAAAAAAAGAAAAAGATGCACATGTACCCACAAATCAGAACTTAAATGTTGAAATGTTACCATTTGAACCTTGTTAAGCTTTGTCAGTTCATCTTAAATTTAATAAGTTTAGTATAGCACAAAGCCAAATTTAGAAAGAATGTGTATGTTGTACCAATACTCCAGACTGGGAGATCAATGTATCGTCCTTATAAAATCAGCATTTAAAATATTGACTTTCATTTAATCTTGAAAACTATTTCAGCCACAGGACAGATATAGATCAGCCCATTTGTCTATTTTTATATTGTTATATTCTGTGCTAAGGGAATAAATAAGTAACACCAGATGGATACTAGAAGAAAGGTTTATTTTACATAAGTACAATATGAAATACAGTACAGTTATACACACAGGTCATGATATTCTCCATATTCTTCTATAGAATATCTTTCCTGTTGCCTCAAGTCTCCTCTTCATGTTTGAAGAAATTGTCCAACATTCACCATATTATATTTCCCAGAAATTTCAACTGTCTCTTTCTAAAAACAAATGTCCTTGTTGTTCCCATTTTTCTTGAAACTTCTTCATTGCTCATATGCGCCATCACTGGAATTATTGGCATTCTCTTCTGCCTTCAATCGTGTCCTGTGAGTTTCAAACCACATATATGTTACCTCAAGTATTCACAGCATTTCCTCTTCATCTGTGAAGAAAGGCATTTGTCTCAAATTCCCTGTTTTATAGAAATAATTAATTCAAAGTAAATAAATGTAATATTAATTTTTGTGCTCATATCATAATTAGTTCAGGATACTAAGATACAACTCTTTTCTTTGTTTCATTTTACAGAAAAAAGAAAGATCCTTACTTTTTAATTTTCCCATTTCTTGGGAAAAACTTAGAAACAAAGAAAAGATGGTCAAGTTATATCAATCTTTCTATAAAACAGTTATTTTCACAGATGAAGAGGAAACTTTTAAAAGTTCTACAGAAGAATGCAATACAATTCCAGTGAGGATCAGAAGTTTTCATTTGTTTTTAGAAAAGCACTTTTTCTGTAAATGAATGTTGGACAATTTTTAATTAAATTTAAAATTAAGGCCTTGTATCTTAGAATTTGAAAAGATCCTTCCAAAATCTAAACAACATGATTAAAAATAACCTAATTTGTGTAAATATGAGCTTGGGAGGATAGTTAAAATAAAATAATGATTACATTTAATTACTTTCAGCAATTAATTTATTCAAGCAAGTTTAAAGCCACTAAGATGCAAGGGAAGGGTTTTGAGAAAAAAAAAAAATCTAAAAGAACAGGAAGACAGAAGATAAAAAATTGATACTACATTTAAATTTTAGCCCCAAGAGAGTTCCACAATCAAGAAGAGGATGGTTTGAAAAGAACTTACAGTTATATTTCGTCATTTCAACTGAAATCAAAAGTCCAATCTAGTACTGCACTTTGATAAAACTTATGTACCATAGAAAAAAAAATCAGCCCATGAAAGTAAATAAATAATGTCTAAATATATAGCAGGAGCACCAAACCAGATGTAGCAGCAAAGCAAGGACAAATGTGAAACTTAAACATGTAAGATAGATTCTGTCAAGAAAAAAATGATCTAGCAAATTTATAACAAGCATAATGTAAATTACTTTTCAACCAAATTTTCTGTTAATCTCAAAATATAAACTAGAGACTTTTCAAATTGCACAGGGAATTGAACCCAGTGTAATAGGGCACTGACCCTG